AACTGCATGAAATCTTGAGTATTCATTTGTTTGATAATTGCAAATAATTACCATTCATTTCCTTTCTAAAAAAAAGGTTAACTTTTTTTTACGTAATTAGAAAAACTATCTGAAGGAACTGAAAGAATAAGGAATTTTTAATCAAAGTTTTTAAATTTGAATAACCTCTCAAAAATATCTGTTCTGTCTATGATTATAACATTAATATTAATTTAAAAAGTAAATTTACTTACCTGTAATTGTTTCTTAAAAAATTGCTCTGCATTCTGACACAAAATCTAAGTTATTTTTATCAGTAAGTAGTTTTAACTAAAACAACAAAACTATTTGAGTGATTTTCCTTCTGTTTATATCTGTGTACACAACAGTCTTATAATTCATTACCATAGTTGTCCATATGCTATAAGATTTTAAAACCCAAAGTGCTTTCTCAAAGCACAAGCTACAGTTGTAATGTCAGTGACAAAGAAATTAGAAACATTCACATCATAGATAACAAGTAAATGATTTCATTGGTTTTTATAATAATTTATTACTTTATGTTTTTTGAATCTCATTGTAAAACGTTTGGTGACTGGAATTTTAGCACACAAAATGTAGCTTTCAGCAATACCATCTTTCCTATGTTTTAACTTTTTAATATTATCTGTTACCAAAGAAAGAACATTTGGATAATGGATTTTCATTCAGTAAAACCTAGTTTTGTAAATCAAGAGGCAGTTACTTACTTCTGCTTATCACGTTGCCTAGTTAAGTTGAGATACTTTGTTTCTTGTCTGTGTACTCATTTTTACCAATTTCTTCAAGGGAGATATATCTTTTTTTTCACAATGGAAGCAAGATGACTTCTGATATAAAGGTCAGTGTAACTTGGTATCACATAGTTAACAGGTGGTTGTAAATATTATTTTTGTAAGTGATGTTGAAATTATAAAACTCACTACATAATCACTACTGCAATATGTTGTCAAAACCTTTGTCTCTAAAAAGCAGCTGTAAAATAATTGTTAAATGCAAATCTAAAGTTGTGCAGAAAAGAGCCAAATTACAATAGATAGTAATAAAATTAAAATGTTTAATTTTTTAACTGTTTAACAATTTTTTTCAGTATAATATGTTTATTGCATAAAATTTAGAATTAGTATATAAATTGCTTATTATCAAGTTCTTTAGACTAGAATACTTAGCAGTAGTGTCTCGTACAGTTTTTACACTATGCACTCATGGCCACACGTTAAATGAATAAGGTTGTATTGTTTTACTGGGTTTCAAATATTGCTTATTAA